TAACATCCTGGACTCTGCTTCTGAACAAGAAGTCGAACCAGTTCTTCCTTCCTATTAAAACAGCGATTGGGTGCACCAGATTGGCACCCTCCAGAAGGGATGAACTAGACCCCCATAATCCCCCAGGCAGCTATGGGCAAAATGAAAACTCCCAAAATCTTCCAGCCACCAGGTCAAGAAAGTTGGCACTAGTCTGCGGGGCTCAAACATCGGCAAGATGCACCCATTTTTGTATTTATCAAGCCCTTTGAACTGGGCACGTGTCCAGCATGAAAAATGACAGGACTTTCTCCACTTGGACGTGAAGCTTACAGTTGCTTAAAAAGCTCTGTCCAAACATCAGCAAAACAAGCAGACCTTCATGCAAAGCACATGCCAATCGAACAAAAAATTAACCAAGCAGCTCAGCTGAGCTAAAATTGCAAGAAAATGGAACAGAGCATCCCATGCTAACCAAACCCATCAGAAGCCCACCTACGGATTTTTAAAAACGCCGTATTACATTCACAATGTCTTGCAGAAGTATCCCCCACCCACAACACACGCTATGATACTTGTCACAATGAAGGTACCAAATATTCTTACAGCAGCACCAACATTCAGCAAACAAAAACAGTCCGGCACTTGTTGATTCTGTAAGTATCCACCTCACTGAGACAACGGTTGGTGGAAGAACTTTTAGCAGCAAGTAGGGCCGAGAGGATCTGGAGAGGAGAGAGTAGAGCGCCTCTGGATCCTGCTGTCTTTACCCGTTCTTCCGGGTAAAACTGTTCCAGCAATTGTGGGTTCAATGGAACAGTGGGGTACAGCAACTGTCAAGTCTTGCTGGAGGTCCTGACTCAGATTCGGATCTGGGCTTACACTAGTCCATTCCATTTCTTGTTCTGAAACCACTCCAACATTATTCGGTTGTGTTTTCGGCATCATTGTTCTGCAACCCTCCTCTCCTTTCGCAGGTTCCTTGCAGAATGAAACAAGTTTTCCTCTAGTGTTGCTCAGTAGGATGGTGGGCACATTATGAGCAGCGCTGGCTGGAGGCTCCTTCCGACTCGCACTGTTTCGATGCTTCAGCGTTCGGAGTCATCTGCCTTACCTTCGATTCTGGCCAGTTGCTGCAGAGGAAAAGTGCCCCCATAGCTGCTGCCCCCACCAGGCTTCACCACGAACATGGCATAGTCCTCAGGCCAGTAAGCACCTCTGGCTTTGCGTCAAACACAGTATTGTCAGCAAGACGAAAACGGTCCCTTTCCCTCATATTACCCAGAGAGTATTTTTCCACGTGTATGCGACATCTCCCATATGCCTTCTTGCGAACGCCAAACGGGCTTTGATAAGCGCTTAGTCCAGCAATCGCTTTCTTCTCGCTGCTCCTCCATAAAGCCCAGCTTTGTGGAGCAGGGAGCTAATGGCTGTGCCACAGGCTCACGTGACCCGGTTGTTAAGTTTTGTTGTGCAACCTTGTCTAGGTGACGTCAAGGCTGAACCTTATGAGCTCCATTCTGCAAGCAACGATCGAACAGCACTGTGGATTTCAGAATTTGGGTTTTTAATAGCCCAACAGGAATTGCAGCTTCTGCACAACTTTATCCCAGAGTTGCCGGAATAGGTCCTTGGCCTTCCCAGTGCTGTTTGTTTAGAAAGTCTCTCCAACAAATCGCTTTCCTTCCAGAAACAGGCATGTTTTTCCTAACCTGTGGGCTTGTCTAGAACCTATCCTTAGGCTATGCTACTCCTTGAAAGAACAGCGGGTTTTTGTTCCCTCTCTGGCTGCTGTCTGACATCCAGCACTGGGCATGAATGCAAATGTGTGCTGAAAGAGCTGGGTGGGCAGACCGACTCTGAGTCACCTGACCAGCTCCAAGAGGGAAGAGCAGAGGGGGGATTTAGAAAGACAACTGACATTCCTCCAGATCGAATACACACACAGCCATCTTTCAGCCACCCTTTATTTTAAGCCGGCGAGGAAGCACATGTCACAGTGCAACTGCCAGCCTGCTTTTTTCAGCAGCCAAATGGCCCCAGGCCCCATGAGAGCTGGAGGGCCTTCTTTTCACCCAGAGGCTGATCAGCACCTCTGTAAGGAGGAGACAGCAAGCGGCATCCATAGGCACGCTGCCCAGGACCATACGGTCACCAAGGCCAGTAGCCACTGATAGCCCGCTTCTCTTCCACGAACTCACCCAATTCCCCTTTAAAGCGATGGAGCCCCCTGGGTGACCCTGGGCCAGGCACAGACTCTCAACCCAACCTACCTCACAGGGTTGCTGTTGGGGGGATAAGATGGAGAGCAGCAGCAGGAGAATGAATTAAGTCATTTTGAGTTCAATGGGGAAAGCAGGACATAAATCTAATAAGTAAATAGTAACACAGAAACAGAGCAAGTCAGAAGGGGCCTCCCAGGCCATCTAGTCTGACCCCCGGCTCCAGCCAGCTCCGCTCATGACATGCCTAAATGAATGAGGCCATCCAGATGGGTGGCCATCACTACAGTTCATGGAAGTGCATTCATTAGTTTTAATCTAATTCATTAGATTAAAAGAGTTTTTTCATGCAGCACATAGTGAAACTAATGATTCACTATGTGCTGCATGAAAAAACTCTTTTAATCCGTCTTGCCTCTCCCACCAATCAGCTTCCTGGAATGACCCCAGCGGGTTCCAGAATGACGACAGCGGGAGAAAGATGTCTCCACATCCACTTTCGCCACACCACTTCCTAAAAAATATAGGTACATACCTACTAGATAAAACGCAGAAAGTATCGAAATACATGTGGTTAATAGGGAAGGTAGTGATGAAGGTCTAAACTGGGACCCAGTGAAGGCAACTGCAAGGCGAATAAGTATTAAAGAAGCATATAATTTAAAAAGAAAGAGGATTAAACATGGAAAGAGGAATAAGAGAACTGGCGAATACATACAAAAGAGGGATGTAAAGACTTTGGTAGAATTACAAGCTAAAAGAAAAGAATTGCATAACAAAGCTTGAAACAATACAGGGGAATTCAATGTATCTGAAGAAGGAATATTTTGAATTTAGTAATAAGAATTCAAGACTGTTGTCCAGGGGCGCAAAACAAAAACAAAGAAAGAAATTAATTGGCATAGTTAAGGACAAAAATGATACGAAAAGTAACTCAACAACAGAGAAACTGGGAATATTTAGATGTGCGAGGCTTTCCCTCCTAACTGGCTCGGAATGAAATGTGGGGAAGGTAGGACAATACATCTCAAAGTTGCCAAATGGCCAGGGATGATGGGACATACCATCCAACACCTCAGGAAGGGCTCCAGTTGGAGAAGGCAAAGCTCCTCATCACATTCTCTGCACTCGGAGAAAGGGACACTGACGGGTTACGATTTAATAGACTGATATACTTCTAACCATATGCAACAGCCGTGAGTGATGCCAGGATGGGGGCTTTGAAGGAAAGCCGTGGGGCTGCAAGAGGAAGGGGAGCATCTTGTCCCTGCCTCTGGTTGTGCCAGGCGGTAATCCGGCCCTGGGGCCAGAACCATTCCCCATGGCTGGCCCAGATGCTCCCTCCGGCTTGTTCTGCCACAGCAAGGTGTCTGCGCTTTTCATCCCCTCCCCTCTTTGCCCTCCCTCCTCCCGTAGCCCCATTCCACACCTTGTCCATTTGCTCTGTTGAGGAACTGAAAGAGACTACAAAACTTTGCAAAGAAGAACACACAGGAGCTGGAGGCAATGGCCAGATCTCTACCCCACACTTTCAGTGGGGTTTGAGCAGGAGAGCATCTGGTACATCAGTTCCGCCTTAGCATGCCCTTGATAGGCGAAAGTGGGATGTTTGGGTTTTCTGCTTTAGGTGCCAAAATACTTTGGCCTTACCCAGGAAGCGAGTCCCACTATGAATTTAAAGGGCGCTTACTCCAAAAAGCTTATTCCAAAGTAAGCTTGCATTACATCCTGTCCTTAACTGCTCCCCAGAGAGGTTTGCCTGGCGCCGAGCTTATATTCTTTTTGGTGCCAGGTCAAAACTTTTTTATTCAATCGTTATTTTAGAAATTAGTATTTTAATGTTTCACCAGTTGCTTTTGATTAAATTTTCATTGGTTATATGTTATTATGTTTGTATGTATTGTTTTATTGTATTTGATTTTAATGATTGTAAGCCGTCCTGAGATGCCATGCATAAGGGACGGCATATAAGTTTTAAATAAATAAATAACCACACCTATAACCCAGTGTGAGAAAGGCAGGCTGGTGTACTGGTTACGAGTGTGGGCCCAGGACTCGGGCAATCTGTGTTCAAGTCCCTGCTCAGCCCTTGAGCCCCCTGGATGGCGTTGGGCCAGTCGCAGACTCTCAGCCCAGCCTACCTCGCAGGGCTGTTGTTGTGGGGATAAGGCAGAGAGCAGCAGAACGATGTAAGCCGCTTTGCGTTCGCCCTGAGATGAAAGTGGGATCTCTGTCGAAAAATAAATAAATAACGCCAACATCCCGCATGTGGGTGCCCTTCCAACAGGCCGCCATGGGACTTCGCAGAGCCCGAAGGGTGCAGCGCACCCGCCTCCCAGTACCAAGGAACGCGGCGCTGCAACTCTGCACACGCTCAGGGACGCCCTTCTTCCTCTTTCTACGTGAAAGGCGACGCCAGCCAACCCAAGTTAGCCCTGCGGGTGGGGGGGAGAGTAAGCCCCAGGCCGCACTGCCCGGCGGCCACGCCGACCGTTCCCTTCTCCTGCCAGCAACCGCCCGGGCCGGCTCGTTCAGACGCGCCCGCGGGACTCTTCGCACGCTCGCGGGCAGAGCCC